CAAGAAATGTCCAGATCCATTACGAATTGGATTAAGCGCAACCTTACCCGTTAAAAGATTTGCCTTGTTTCCGGAGACAACAGCTAAAAAAAAGCTAAGAAGTTTAATTATTTTATGTTTTATTGAAAGCTTAACCTGCATAGTCCATATAGTGGCATTGGTTTCATTCCATGTAACCTAACCTAATTAAAGAGACCGCATGGCACAAGCCGGAGCTACCCTTTCTCATAAAAGGTCAAATGAAAGGGAAAGAAAAGCAAGAAGGAAGTATTTTTCATGAATTTGAATGCGGCCATGCAACAATTTACCATAAATCACGTTGATCCCACTTTGTGTTGGTTAATGACTAATTACCTTTTAATTTAAAGGTGCATTACACAACTTTCCAGATGGTAGAACCACTTTCAGCTCCGGTCTGAATTTAAATGTGGGTGTTAAGCTTGGAATAGTCCACAGTATGCACAGTTTCCCATTAAGCAGGTAGCAAGGCTAAGTCACATCTGTGGACAAGCAAGCCGACCCAATGTTGTGGATAAATACAAATGGTTCCAGATGTCCAAATCTTGTTGTTGTTTGTCTGTGACTTCCATTTATCTCTATGGCTTTAATATTACAGTGGACGAATCAGAAAATCTAATCTAATGAGAATATTCATCTCTAGGTTTTATATATAAGTCAAATCTATCATAATAAAATCTTAAGCAGAGCAGAGCTTTAGGGCAGCAAGAAGGCCATCTGTTAGTTAGAAAAATGAACTGCAAAGAGAGAAAGAATAAATCAAAGCAGTGATAAAATGCATTGTGTTAATGTAAGTAAGTGATTAATGCAGGCCCTTGTAGTGCTTTTGCGCTAATTGATTTTGACTTCACTGAAAAGCGAGAAGTAAGCAGCCTGCAGGGAAATTGTGCATTTATTTTTTCATATCTGAGAGCAACTGCACAGAGGATAGAGAAAAGTAAAGATGAAAAGGCTATTGTGCCTAACAGGAGGTGACAGGGGAAGCAGACAGCGTGGGCAAAACTCCTGTGAGAATGGCTTTTGGATAATATGTGTAAGAATGGCAGGTATAAACCGGAACAGCAAAAGTAAAAAAAAAACCAGGACAAAACCAGAGTTGGTGCCCTTTTGTTCTTTTATTCTACTGTCCAGAAAATCCATTAGCAACGTGGGCCAATCCTTTTGTTGGGAAACTCAGCACCGCTGCAAATAGGGAGCTGCAATCAGCTAATGCGTCCATTGTCTGATTTAAGCAATAGAAAATTAAAGATATCGATTTTCAACAATCCTACATTCTCAATCATCAAAAGCACGTGCTAAGTTAGATTGTTGTAGATAAAGGTGCTCGGTGGGTTTTTTGGTGGAATGTGTCTGCTGCTCGCCTCATGAACTTCTCATTGTCAGTTAAGAATGTTACACAGTTTATCTTTCTACCTTTCATGCATTCAATTCAGTGTGGATTATGGAGATCACACTAATGTTTTTCATACAAAGAGTAGCATGTTTTCAAACCTTCCCACTAAAAACTATAGTACATTATTAGCACCTGTACTTCAACAGAAAATGATATGGACGTAGGTAATAATGTCATGAGTTCTTATAAGTATAAAGTTGAAGTTATACTTCTCATTCTCCAATGAGAGACAAGTTGCTGAACTGAGGAAGAGCCTAAGGACAGCACAGGGACTGCGGCCTCCTGCTGGTGCTCAGACTGAGAACTAAACATGGGGAGGCTGCATTTCAGATTCATGCTGCTAAAATCCGGATGTCTTCCTGAAAATGTCAGACAGGCTTCTTCTCTGCTGACAATGTTCAAGCAGTTCAGTTTAGCTGTGCATATGATGAGGGATTTTAGCTTAGCTCTTTGTAATGCTTTTTGTAATGTACTGTGATTATTTATACCTTGTGTGACTGTCTCTATCTTGTTTTGTTCAGCACTTTGAGTTTCCTTGTGTATGAATTGTGCTAATCAAATAAGCTTGCCGAGCCTTGGCATTGCCATAGAAACTAACAAGTATGAGCTCAGTTTGTGGAGATGCAAGCCTCACATAAGGATCTCTTCAAAAAACATCTTCTATCATCCTGACCGGAAAAAGACAAACAAACCAAAAAAGCCGGTAATTTGTTTTCTATTTTTGTCAAGATCCAAGACTTCTTTTTACACCCTGCACAGATAACGTATTATAACAAATTGAAAAGGATGACGCAGCCACGTTTTCAGGGAATGTACATTCTGCAAACAGACTATGCTGAGATGCTCGACACCACACGTCATGTCGTCAAGTGCTTACATTTGAATGCCAATAATTACAAAATGCTGTGTATTCAGATAGAATGCTCAGTATACATTTACCCAGTCAAAATGCACCATTCTTTAGTCAAGAAAAAGGATGAAAGATTCATCCATAAGCCCTCATCAAGAGTTACAAGAACATCTGGCTCCTGACTGTCCCAAGCCTTTAAAAGTAAGTTTGATTTTTTTTATTTGTCCTACTTTATTCTAATCCCGCAGCACCATGTGACTCTTCGCTCATTCAGATAGACAAACATACACAATCATGACTATACAATAACTTACAATGCTGCTTCAAAAATAGATTATCTATTAGTGCAACTGTCTCATTAAGATTGCTGTGGTGGAATTTCCGGCATTTTTTCACACATAAATAAAAAACACACAGATACCATGCATACAGAAGTTCAGAAAGATGTCTTATTTAGTATATATTTATGGGTGAGGCAGCAGTACATTCACATTCCTCATTTAATAGTCACACTCTGTGTGGTCATTAAATGTGTAATTAACAGTGGCTTTAAAGCTGTCAGAGCGGGACATGGGGGCTCCTCAGCCTCACAGTCCGACAGATGTGTGTGTATTCATTACAGCTCAGTGGGAGTCTTAGGTCCTTCCTCCGTCCACCTGTTGTCCTGTGACTGAGGCGCTTACACCACTGCGGACCACCAGCTTAACACTGCCCCCTCATTAACACTGCATACCCCCTGCCATTCTAATTGGGTCACTAGTATTTACCCCACAGGCTCGCTTGTGCTTGGGCTTGTGTTTGTGCCTGTGCTTGTGGTTGTGTGTGGCATCATTCCCCCTTGGCACAGAGATGACAACCTAAGACTGGCTTATTAGACCAGTTTATCGACCGATGCCTCCAGGTCTCCAAAATCATGTGGCATTATAAGAGAATATGTGGCGCTGTAGTAATTTTAAGGTGTCCGAATGTTGGTGGTTCAATTCACATTTGTGCAAAATCTAGGCAGACACTTCACCCAAAATGTGTGAGTTATAATGGTGGTAAGAGGGGCCAGTCTACCCCAGGGCAGTCCCCGCGTATCACCTCTGAGTGTGGAATAAATGAATACTACTAAGAGAGGCATTGTTGCGACTGGAATAATACAAAACCAACCCAAACCAATGTATATAATCCCAGCCAGTTAGATTATTACTACTATATAGGTAAGGGTATTATAGTTTATTTACAGCACACCTACATGTATATTACTCTGGTTTCTATATTTGCCTTCTTGGGAGACCACCCTTGTCGTGGATACATCACACATGGTGGCAGAATGTTCTCCAACCCACTGTGCAAGTAAATCCTATTTTTGGATGAGGTCAGTGAGCCATAAGCCCCATGCAGCCGGAGCCATGAACGCCTCTATACGGTGACAGATATCACTAAACTCAATTTGTGTGGTTTTTTTTTTCAGTGAGGACAACAACCTTGCTAATCTGTAATGATTCTGTTCTAATCAACTCAATGACTAATCCAGTTCCTCATGTCGAAGAGAGCTGCAGTCCAACCCAAGGCCAGACTACTTCATCAGGGGAGGGAGAGGAGATGATGATGGAGGGAAATGTTAACCAGACTTCAGCCAAGGGTATGAGAAGAAACAAAAACACTGTGGGACTATAAAATTGTGATTTGCGACAAAATTAAATGAATTGTTGTTAAGTGCCATTCTTGTGGTAGGGTAAAATAATACGGATGCTAATGAGCCTTGAGATAAAACCTTGTGTATTAAGTAGTGGTTAATGAAACATTCCAGTCAAATGAAATAAAACGTTAAACAGAGCTGAAATATTATCTTTTTTGGAAGCTGAAACTACACGAACTGGACTGATGGCTGAGACACTGTGTCCTGTGAGGGTTCACCAGGTCAGAACACTGAGGGCTTCAAACAATACATCAGAACACACTTTCTGTTTTTATCAGAGCTTCAAGCAGTAAAATGGCTCAAACATGTTCATAAAAGGAAATATCAGACTTTCAGGCATTTAAACTTGAATGTATAGATGTTTTTGTTCATTATTTGTTCATTATATTCTATTGATTTATACCGGAGGGGCGTGCAATAAAAGTGTGTAAAACAGAAAGAAAGCTACGGCCAGAATCAGTTTGAGCTGTTGCCACGAGGCGGTTCATGCAACTCTTTTGTGTGATCCATCTTTTCAGATGTTCTGCCGAGGACACAGAAAGGCGGGCTGCAGTATGAGGGCATGTATTTTTAAACCCTGGCGTTTTCATCACCTCAATTCTACTGAGACTTTATAATTAGGCAAGATTCTCTCTCTTAGATCTGTCCTATTCTCAATTGTGAGTGTGTCAGCTTATACATAATATTACTTTAATTTTCTTTTAATTTTAGTTAGTATATCACATGCATTCTCTCCTTCCATAACCTCCAAAGATGTGGTGATTTGACAAACTTGACAGTGTGAAAGTTTTCTGCCTAAAATTCTTCCTCTTCAGATGCAATTAAAGTGTGTTATACCTCAGTGATAATGTACGTATGCGTTTAACTCCGAATACAGTGCCATAACTTAAGGACAATCTCTTCCACTTGGGTAGCTCAGTATCATTATTCACCAGCCTCTAGTGGACCACAAATGGCTGCCAGACAGTTTCAGAAATATCTGGGCCACGACTGTGAAGTATTAATGTAGCAGACAGCGCGCACAGACACACAGTCATGATCAACAATAGTCTTACTTGCTACTTCCAGAGTTGCGTTGCGGCTGATGGCGTCTCCCAGGTAGTTGCGGGCTACGCAGGTGTACACGCCCTCGTCTGGTTTGCTGCGGCGGCCGTGCACGATGCGTAAGAAGAAGAGCGAGCCACTGGGCAGCAGCATGCGGTGGGAGCGTGGGTCGTCCCGGTCCGTCTCCACGCGCTCCCCATCCTTGTACCACTCCACGCTGGGGGGCGGGCGGCCTTCAGCTTTACAGTTCAGAGTGGCAGGTTCCCCCTTGGACACCACCAGGTCTGAGGGGTCCTCCACGATACGGGGCGCGCTGTCTTCAGGGCGTGCACGAGACGCTGTGGAAACAACAGAGGTGGTTATGCATAGGGCTGTAAATAATGAGTATATTTTGATTAATCGCTTAGTTGTTCAGATTCCAATGTCAGTGAATACAGTATGGGACTGTTTATACATTTGACCCAAACCCCACAGGAGGATGACTTGTTGCACATTGAGTTTTTTGCTTAAAGTACTTTCAGTTTGCTGTCTGAAAAGTCTGAGTCTTAAAAGGTTCAAAAAACAATTAACCGACTTCTTGGTTATGTAACTGACTTCTAACTGCCCCCACATTAATTGAACTTGTGACAGCCCTGGTTATGTACAGTGCAGGGGAAAGAGTATTCTGAATACTTTGTTGGTACTCACTCTGAATCAATGATAATACTGTATATTAGAACAAGACAAGACTAGACTAGAACAACTCATGTATGTCTTGATTAGAAAACAAATCAAACACATCTGCATGCATCACTGAAAGCCACATTTCCGTTCTTTGTTTTGTAATATGTGTTCTAAATGGCTCACTCAACTATACCAGTTTTTTTTCTTCAACATTACAAGAGTAACTGTGTTCTGAATAATACTGTGAAAAGAAAAAGGTGTTGCGATTATAATTAATAATATAACTAGGTATTCCCAGTACATGTATCCCATTATTCCCCAACACTGCTGATACAGTATTTGAGCAGAAAAATGAGGCAGACATTTTTGTGTGCCTGTCTAAGGACTTAGCGCACAGTAACGCTACAAGTTAATTAGATTTTGAAAGTTTCCAAATTAAATAGCAGTAAAATCCCTTCAGGCAAAGTTCACATTTTAACTTCTGAAAATGCTGTGTATAATTACAAGGATAGTGGCATTAAAAATGACCTATTATTGTGGCAAAACTACTGATAGTTTTGCCACAATAATAGTTTAAGAGCATCAAATAATAGGTTATCTCCTCCTTGAGGTTCTGAGGTCTGAGAAAAACAATTTTCTGAGTCTTGTTTGGACAGAAAAATACCACCTTGGGGCGCATACGTGTTTGGACACAAATATTATGGTATATGTGTAATCTTAGCGTCGATCACAATTCAGACAGGAGACAGTTGATGGAAAAGCTGCCCATGCATTTAACAAACACGTGACAAACATAGTCAAAGAGGAAATATTTATTCTCTGAGGACAATGTGGCTTAGCGCAGAAACATATAGAGCTTTTAGAGCAAGACCCAACGTCCTCAACGCTGTGATACATTTAGAAAAATAAATAATTCAAAATGCTGCTCCTGCTTTCAGTTGGATTCAAAGGGAGCAGATGGTATCTCCCAGTCACAAAGAGCAAAGAAATGAAATGGCCACTGTGCGCTGGCTGATAACTTTACATAGTCCGTCCACAGCGGTATTATTTTCACGGCTTAATCTCGACGGCATGAAAATCCAATCTGAGTTATTATTATTATCATTGAGCAGCCAGAAGTGCTAGTAACCCAGTGCATGTTGTGGTGGTTGTACTATATACAGTACTTAATCTGGATGAGCCACCACTTAAAGCAGATTTATGCCTTTTTATCTGGCCACGATAAACCTGAAGTCAACACGCACTGACAGCTAACGCCATGGGTCACAAAACAGGGCATTTCAAGACACTAAACCAGCACATGAATAATGATAAGTCCATTAAACTGTGCCCAAAAGCTTTCTCTATTGGTCAAATGAACAGAGCAACACATAAAATGACAGGAAAAACACAATTTCCAGTTTATTTGAATCCGTAAATGCAGGCTTAACAATGACCACACACAGCAGTGGAGATAAGGCTTTGCTTTGTCCTAGCGGTGAACCCGATTTTTACACGGCAACACCAAAAACTCAACTTTGCATTAGAGTTACATCACTGAAAGCTCTACTCTGAATTTACGGTTCAAATCAAGTACATGTCTGGAAGATTGTTGGCCTAGTTTTGGTCAAGTTGACATGCAAGTGAACAAAGGCACTGGGATAATGTGTATATCCAAAGGAAGCATTTATGAGCAGTTTCAAAGCCATGTTAACTCAGCATACAAAAAACTCATTTCTGAAAATAATTCAATCTAATTTCAATGTATTCTTCACAACATCACAGGTTTCAGATGCATTGAAAAAGCTTTCTGGCACTGTGAATAAATTGACACCTTAGGAAAGAATGCAGACATGTAGAAATATATTGTTATGACTAAATAACAAAATAAGCGTACATTTTCTCAACAGCAATTCTTTGGAAGACACACACACATAATTTATCATATTAATCATCTAGAGAAAAACAGCACAATTAAGTCAAATGTTGTCATTTGACTTAATTGACAAACAAAATGTCAGTAGTTTACAACTTGCACTTGATTGACCTTTTGTTTAACCAAGTCCCACTGAGACTTCAGAATCTATTCTTCAGGGGAGTCCTGGCCCCAGAGAGAGGGGAGCTATTGCACCGGTAGAAACTTACACAGACACCACAGGGTCAGAAATGCCCTGTCTGGAGATGGAATCGAACCTAGGACCTTCTTGCTGAGAAGCAAGAGTAGAGTACAGACCACTTAGCCACTGTAAGCTACGTATATAGAGCTATATACAGCATAACATTTTTGCATCGGATAGATCATTTATTGATCTCTCGAAGGGGAAATTCAGGTGTCCAGTAGCAGCAGAAACACACCCATCTATACAAACAAATCCCACAAGAAGGTATTATGAAAAAAACTATTAGGTATAAAATAACAATTCTATATCACAATATGAAGAAATCTTATGAGATCTTCACATCCCAACACTCATTTCTTCTTTTGCATCACCTTACTTTTGATGTTTTATGTTCCCACTAGAGAGATGCTGCAGTCTTTGTCCATGGCGCGTGGGGATTCACTGTGAAATCTTTTCTTCTTTACAAAACCATCTGAATAGTTTGAATGTCACAGTGACAAATCAGTCTTTTGTGATTTGTTGCTTGTCGCCAAACAAACTCAACAACACTTAAACACTCATTTGCAAACTTTCAGCTATGCAGGCAGCGCAGCAGAGACGGTGGACGCTGTTAGATTATCTTCCACATTTGTAATAACTAACAAGCCCTAATGGCCACTTCCGATGGCTGAAGCTATCATGTGGGGGGGGGGGGGGGGGGGGGGGGGTTAGGGTTAGGATCAGTGCCACCGCAGACAGACGAATTACCACGAAAATAATCTTGTCGAAACAGGAAGAAAAACGCAGCAGAAGCCTCAGGTGGTGGATAAAGTGAGACGCAACAAGCCTGTCTGATGACAAGTGTGCAATCAACTCAAACTCCATGACCACTTTGCGGGTAACATGGGCACATCTCTCTTTTCAGGGGAGAAAATATTTTCACAGTAATGCGGCATGCATGACAGGAAGATTGTGGAGCGGCCTTTGAAAGCACCTTCCATCAACATTTTAGCTGACAGCTGTGGACCGTGACACAGAAACACGCAGGCGCTAATGGAGGCGTGAGGCGAGGTATTAGGCCAATCTTAAGCACGGTCCATTTGAAATCCCGGTGGCACTCAGGAGATATTGCTGCTCATGGTTGGGACTTGATTTGTGGTAAAATATGACTCTGGGGCATCGCAGTGTGAAATGGCCTTACGAGTGATGTCCGCGAATCAAGGACGCATCGGCTTGTGCTGTTGTGTTGTCGCGCAAGAAGACATCACATCAAGAGCTGTAAAATGTGTTGTATAGAAATATTTTGCACCATAAACTTTGCGCCTTCTACAACATATCAGTAAAACAGACAGGGGAAGTGTGGAGTATGAGCATTCATTCATTTCCTCCAGGAAAAAATGCAATAAAACTATTTAAAACATACACATTTACTCCCCCAGAATGCACTGCACACAGACCAGGTTCGCTCATATTGATTCTTGAGGATCGTAACTTGAATATAAAAAAGCGACTATTTAACTGGAGTTACGCAACACATGTTATCTTTGTTCTGGAGGCTGGGTCAACTGAGAATCAATATAACTCAAGAGAAAAGCGCAGAGGCCTTGGTTGTCAGAGGAAGACAAAGGGGGGGAGACAGTTTCCATCATCCACATGCAGATACAAGTGTTCGGTGTTGTCATGCAAAGGCTTGTGTGAAAGAAGTGGGAAAACCTTGAACATGTTTTCATGCTTTTCTTTCCAAAGCTTCACTCTCTGTGGAAAACCTGCCCATGTGCATTCAGATCACATCATATTCAATGAGACATATTGTGCAAAATCAATGTTACAACATTGTTTCCTTGACAAAACTGGACTAGTACAAGGAACTTCTGGCACAAACATGTAACTCTGCTCCTTACGGTTCATCACCATATACTTTCACTTATATCTTTTCATTATTTGATTTTTTATATTTCAGAAAAATTTATACTTTAGAAATATTTTATTATCACTTATTCTTTCTCTACTTTTCACTTGTTTGCACCGAGAGCCAAAGCAATTTCCTAGTCTGGGACTTCCTGTTACTTACATGGAAATAAAATGATTCTGATTCTGAAATGTGAAGTAAATAGTCTGATTATATTTTCAAAGGCCAAAAACAATGCACAAAATGTATTCTCTGATACAGCGACTCAGACAGATGAAAAAAACATGGACAACATTCATATGACTAAGGCATTATTGTAAGTTTTATGGTCTGTATAGTCAATTAAGTAACTCATATTTATCAATTAACCTCTTGGCTTTCTTATGAAGAAAGCAGTGTATTCAATGAAGATTTGAATCTGAAAAACGAAACCTGGAATCTGCCCAGTGCGATAAAGGAATTCTATCTGCATCCACTGATCTACAAGTTTGATCCCAAAAGCCCCAAAAGATCACCCTTTTTAATGTTAATTGCCTCGTAACACAAAAACATACAAATATACATTACTTTTAGGTCATTGTGACTGGACTGCTAGTTTGAACTGGAGTCAAAACGAAGCCTTTCTGATTGACAAGTCGTCACATCGGCCCTAATTACAGACTTGCATCTCCTTTCTTTCTGCATCACTGCACCCAGGGGCAGGCAGCAGCTGATGGGGCAATCTCCGCTCTGAATATGACGCAGATTCGGGCTATACAGTGTTTGTCGTTGGCTTGGAGCTGTCACGTTACATAACAGCATGCTTTCATTAATTAGTTTTTACACATATTAGCTCCGTTCTTCCCATGGGACTTAAGTGTACTACAGTGCTGATGGAGTCAAAACAAAACCATGGATTGGTCATTATTTTAATTTTTCACTACAAGCTTAATTTCTCTTCGGGGGGCAATGGGGAATCATTGATGTCTACATTTATATACAGGCCCAAACATTCAGGAGACTTCTACCCAGCCACATTGCCAACAATTGTCTGTGAAGTAGTGATAATAGGAAGCTGTCTACATTTCACAAAGTTGGCTGAGGCTGGAGGAAATTGAAAACTTCATAAGACAAATTGCCACCTGCCTCTTTGTCTTGCAAGAACAAATAGCTCATCACAGTCTAATAAGTGTTTTTTAAGCTTTGATTTGTGAGATGTATTATCTTCACAAGTTATTAGTCCTTGGAAATTTCACAAATTTAAATTCACAAAGCTGTTTGTAACATTGAAAAGCTCTATATACTAACTCTGTAACACGTGCTGGGAGATATAAGGAGATACATACAAAATGAAAGAGTGAAATGTGTTTCTTATTGAGTGAGATGTGGATCATGTTAACTGTCTTTCTTCCAAACAACTAATCGAATAATGAAAGAATCTGTAATCTCTATGTGAACGGATTATCTTAATAATCGTTACAGCCCATCCATCCATTGTTTTCCCCTTAATTCTTTTCTGGGTTGGGGGGGTGGCGATCAGTGATGCCTTCCTGCAGGTGGTGAGTCCACAGGAGGATGGCTACTCTGTCAGTGTGACCATAGCCTTGATATTTCAGTGGGGGCTTCAGGCAAAGTGGGGTTAAGTGTCTTGCCCAAGGACACAACAATAGCAGACATCAGTGGGAGTCAGTGGGGAAGGTCTCATGGTGGGCTTGAACCCATGCCCTTCAGGCTCAAAGGCCAATGCTCTACCAACTGAGCCACTGTTGCCTCTCGTTACAACCCTATTCATTTGTGTGCCTAATAATTGTAGATCATTGTGGGTACATACAGGGGGAAATAAAAAGATTGTTGGTATGAAGTAGAATTATCAGGTGGAAAAAATGTATACAACGTATGTCAATATAATAATCCATGTGTTTGCTCTAGAAAAATGGCTGAGTGATATTTTTGTGACCTTTGTTTTTTGACAAATTTGGGCAGAGAGATTTCAACAAGGAAGCAAATAAGTCCAGCTCAACTTTGTGTTGCACACACACAAACCTCGACGGGTGTGTGCGGGAATGATTGATTGTGGTCGGAGGAACTGAGGGCAGCCCTGTTCCAGCTTCTTCCCTCAGGCAGAAGATACCGTGCATGCAGGACATCTTGTTTTGCTAACAGCTTCTTTCCACAAGCTGTTATCAGTTTCAACAAAGCACTGAAGTTGATCTTGCAATTTTTTTGAAGCTGTTTTAGTTCGATTTCACAGTGTCTGTTAGTGTTTTTGTTTTCCTGTTCTTTTTACCTTGTTTTATTTATGTCATAGGTCTGGTGCACACGGGGGACTTATTCACATGTATTCCAATGTGGTTTTACTGTAAATGGCAAATAAAGTTAATCTGAATTATCTGTTTGCCCCAGGGCAGCTGTAGCTACAGTAGTAGTTTTTCACCACTGAGTAACCGCATGTGAAAACGTCTTTGAGTGGCATGGAAAGTTCTATATGAAACTAAAACATAACTATTATTATTAACTTTGAGTAAACTCGTATACAACCTCTCATTAGTTGATTATGTATCCAACATCCCACTTTATATCTTGTTAAAAAACTAAATAACAACTTTGAAAATGTTGCTTCCACTGGAGGTCACAGAAACTCACAAACACGTTTTCTGGTTATAGATTTTGGCTCTTGGGAATACAGGTGAGAGAGGATACCTGCTTTCTTTGTAGGCAGCAGTGTGGGTGGTGAAAGATGCCGTTAGCAGCATCACTCCATATTGTGGGGCAAAGCGAATGGTGCAAGAATGGCTAAACCACCCGGGGTTTGAAGTCAGATAAGGCTGCACAAATCAAAATAAGCAGATTTTACTGTGGCGTATCAGCACAACAATGGTTTCCAGCGGATTAGGAAGAGCGAGAAAAACTTTGGGGAGAAGCCAAAGACGTGTGGCTAAATTAAAACCAGTGAAACCATTTCGAGCCATGTTTTCATTTTTAAACCATCCTAAGGTTTCATTATGGAGACTATTCTCTGTAATATACTGTAGCAGATCACCATGTCTGTGTTGACAAGATACCAGAACATCAGCAAGAGGTCCATTATGTCTATTTTACAAAGTCTGCAAATATAAATCACTTATTTATATTTGCAACTGGATCCATTTGCCTAAATATAAATGAAAGAATTGGTCATGAATTCGGAATCCAAAGGCTCAAACATCTGTAGAATACTGTCTTCTTATACGCTTTTACATTCCATACATGCACTGATTTTGTTTCAATATTTATCATAGTCATCCTGGCATGGTCTATTGTAATGACTATATGCACGCACACACGTGCACAAACACACACACACATGCACGTACGCGTACACACGTACACACGCGCACGCACACACATACATAGTAATATATATATATATATATATAGAGAGAGAGAGAGAGATACACATCACACGAGAAAACAAATTACAGAACCTTGCCATTTTGATCATTTGTGAAAGAGACACCAATTCATATCTGTATCATCACTTAAACATATTAAATCGTCTCCGGATTAACTCTTTCATTTAAGATCTTATTACATGAAAAATAATCTCCTCTAATCAGCAGTGAGCCCTTAAAAGCAATTTAATACCATTCAGTGTCGTTTTGGGGGGTCGTTTTGCGGCTTACAATATCTTTTGAAGTTTCACTCCTCTCCTGCATAAATGAAAGCACTTTTACTACTGCTCTGACCTCTTCTGCTGACTAATGGCTTCCCTGCTGTCTTTGGTGCGTGTGCGTAAAGGCGCGCGCGTGGGTGAGCTCTCCCTTTTATCCTGGCGTAATATTAGTGATATTTACAAAGTAGCTCAAGTGACATTTTGTTGCAAACCCGTAGAAGCCCTGGGTGTTTAAACAAGGCTTTATACGCGCGCCTCAAGTGCAGTCAATCACCACAGGCAGAGCGAAGAAATAGAGTCAGTCAAGCAACCAACGAAAATCGCGTAAACCGTAAAATAAACCAAAAAGATCGCTCCATGCCCGTGCGTAAAGAGACAATTGAGTTACTTCACCTGCTAGGATGTCGATGAACAAGGCAGAGACTAGTAGTACTATTCCCAAGCGCATCTCCAGGCTGATGTCAAGCCCACCACGAGTCCAAAACGCGCCCTCCAACCATCGAAATGACAAGATCTACTCTTCGTGAGCAGCCACTGAAGCTCAGCTGGGTTAAACCAAGCGAGGAAAATCAGCGTGAAAACTTTGTTACTTGCAGAAAGCCATGTCAGCCGCGCAATAGTGAGAGCATCAGCTTCAGCAGCACCGCCCCGTGCGTAAAGCAGAGCGAAAACAAAACTCAGCATCACTTGGTCCTCCCATAGTCTCGCACACACTTATCAGAGATGTCCCACTGCTCCGCACCAAAAGGAGGTGGTTTGCCACTATTTTTAGCCCGGTCATAAATAAAAGAATTCCCCTTCTCTCGCTGCGGTGCTGCTCCTGGTTATTGGCTTGTCAGTTTGTACGAGTTGCCCTCTCTTCATCCCCACAGCCGCAACAAACCTATAACAGCCTCGCGGAGTCATTCTTCGCTTTAAAGAGACAGCGTGACCTCACACAGGACGTTCATTCCAGAGCTATAGTTTTAGAGGCAACCGGTGTAACGGGGCAGGCCTATCTCCATGGCTTGATCTAAAAATTATCTCAATTCATAACCCGACAGCGCATTATCATTATTGAAAGTAACTTAACAAACTTATTTCAGCAGCAGATTCCTTCATTCTTTTGTAAGATACAATAAAGGAGCTGCAGCCTTCAAGAGATCAGTAAAACAATTATAAACAGAAAATATGGTCAAGACAGTTCATTTGGCATGTCATTTGATTGTGGTTATTGTATTACTGAATTAATATTAATAGTAATGCCAACAAAGCAGCACAACATATAAAATCTAATATAATAGTATAAAGCATATAGGTGTAAACTTGCAGGTAAGGCTGTATCAACTAATTTATTAATCGCAACTAATAAAGTTATTTCAATTATCGTCAAACATTTTTCATAATTGATTAGTCATTAGCTGCTGCGGACTCCATGATATGTAAGTGATGTGAGATGTGATATTAAGACTCAAACAGAGCAAATGACCTACAAAGAAAGAAATGTCTCAATTTGATGTTGAAATAATTTTGTATGGAATTATCTTTTAGAAAGTCCTTGCAGAACTTTATTCGCAGTCGGTGCTTATCAATGAATACATAAGCACATTATCTCTGAACTTACTAAAATACAGAAACATTCAAACTTCAGAGTGCCTCAGATCCATTGCTTCATTATCCATCACAGTGTCTGGTATGTGTTTAGCTAACAGCATCCTACACCCTAGAAATGCTGTGAGTTACTCATGGCAGAGCAGCTACTTATACTGTATATGTTGTGTGCTTCCTGTGTGCTGTCTGTGCTCTGCAACAACATTTCCCCACTGTGGGACAAAAAAAGGTTCTCTTTTCTTATCTTATATTTTTTCACCTCCACGTCCTGGCAGCAACCATACTCTCTCTAATTAATAACATATATCCAAAAGGAAATGCATACAAAAAGTCAATGTCAAAGGGGGTAGGCGTGAACAAGCTTTGCCACTGCCTACTCTTTTTGGGCATCATTTAATCATTTATTTTTCTGTTTATTCTCTCATGCTTTACTTGCCATGCTGATCTCAATATCCAACTGTGAAACCCAGATGTCCTAAAAAAAAAAAGACGAACGAACAGACATTTTACAACCACATCACCAAGGAACCAAATCTAATCACTGGGGGACAATAAAAATCAATATATCTAAGGTCAAAAATTACATGTTTATAAGATCTGTGTGTCTGCAGCCCAGAGTCCTTGGATTACTGTTTTTCTTATAGATTTGTCCGTGAACGCACTCTCAGATAAACTTTCCCACCAGGACATGATGCATCACAATGACTATGGGACACATTGCCATACAACATGAAATCCTCTTCAGTGAGTAAAGACACGGCGGTCCATGAAAAGCCCTTGAGTTTCTTCCACAGCCTGATACAACAGCACAGACAGAGCCCGGCATCACTGTTTATTAATTAGCGGATTGGAGCGAACTGCAGAGATTACTGACACTTCAAACATTAGGCATTGTCACCGCGGAGCAGCACTCTTGTCATCGCTGGTGGTGGGAGGCAAAAGCAAAACCAATGAAGCTGACGTTCCAGGGACGACTTTGTAGTTGTTGTTTTGGAAAGAGACTGGTCACTTCCTCAAGGTTTGGGATGTGAAGCTGGGATGATTGTATTTTTTTATTGTCTCCTTGAATTGCCTTGTGCATGAATTGTGCCATACAATTAAACTTTGAGCACTTGACAGCTTATTGATAGTTGTAACTTTTTGGTTCTTCACTGCATGTCTATAGCATTATGTATTATTATGATCACACATATCATTTATCATACATTTCAAAAACCTAGGTATTTTGGCAATAAGTGTGTTTTGATAGTAACGGTTTATGAACAAGCACCATTTTGAGTAAAAACAATCTGACACTAATTAGTGAACAACCTGTAACTTTCTCCAGAGCTCTCCCAAAACTCATTAAACTTGTTTGTTTGTCTGTCTTCAAGTAGCAGAATAACTTTTCACACTTCCCTTGGTAAATGTTACAGCATGAATACAAGTAGGCTATAACAATGCTAATAGAGGCATATATACTTATACTTTGAAATGTGTTACTTCTGAATTTAAGTATGGTGCAAGTGTAATCTACAAGACATGACCAACAATAGTAATAGTAATAAACAGGACAATCTGAAGAGAATAAGTATATTTTCACCATAAAACAGGCTCTAAAACAAATGATTTTATCTATATACTGTAACAACTAAAACAAGACATTTCTCACTATCAATTTGAAAACAACTATTTTAAGAAAAAAGATAAAATACTCTAAGATCAGGCTAAATATTGTCGTTTCACACGGCTGGACCAAGCACAGAACATAATGCATTATTTAACTTATTATTATTATTATTATTTATCTTAATTTTGGGCGAGAATAAAAGTGCTTTTTCACATAATTTCCTTTTAGTGATCAGATGGCGGCGACAGATAGGCCTGGTTCGCTGTTGAGCCTGCAGCCTGTGGATATGTTGATTTTTAAAGCATCTGTTGTTTGGACTCCCTTCTGTCTTTGTCAGGGCCTGTAGCCGCCTGACCTTGTCCTCTCCTGGGAGTGATGTGGACACACTCTTCTCCCTGGGGGGTGCCATTCACTCGCCTCTCCCCCCCCCCCACACACCTGCACTGCAAAACACGGAAAAAGATAACTTAATCGGTAAATCCAGCTGATTCTGTATTGATTTCAGTCTAGTATAGCAATATCAAGTAAGATTCCTCATCGTGACAAGCAGGTATTGTCTTGTTTCTCCTACGTAGGACCGATAAAGTATCTATTTCTCTATCCTAACTTTCACACCAAAACATTTTGCACCATAAAATACAAGTTTTAGATATGCATGTCATTGGCCTCCAAGACGTAAAAGTGGAAAAAAAGAGAGGCATACTCACTCTCACAGTGACACACAGGGTTCTTTCCAACAAGTTAAACAAAAAGTGTAATCCAATACGATAAAGACATCATGGTGTCTTCTGTCACAAAATGTATTCAATAGAAAAATTAGGTACCCCCAGCTTTAAGGACAGATTAGATATACTATCTAAGTTTTATGTCAGACATTTATTGTTGTTTTAAACCATTTTATACTCGTCCCAATACGAAATGAACGCTATTACTTACTTACAAGCACCTGATAAACCTGAAGAAAATGAATTAATGAGCTCATAACTTTTGCCCCTACGGATTTTGTTGTTGTTGTGTCTAAACCTTCTTCAAACTTGTTTAGAATGGTGAAGTTTTGCAGTGTGCCTGTCCTCAGTGTGCCTGTGGGTTCATTGTCTGTGCTTGAGTACGTGAAGGTCCAGCAGGATGGAGGGTGGACTTTTCCACTATCGCCGCTCTTCCTCTTTTGTTCACACTCAATAGGGCTGGAAATTGGGCAAGTGAAAGGCTAGTCCAGATGTCTATAGAAGTGGTCCGCACAAAGACCGGGGTGTTGGGCTCTCAATCCTATCACTTCTGGATAAATGTGTTTTAGGTTCACAAAGGCTAAGCAGACCGAGCGTAGTGGATTCATACATAAGTCCTGTAAGCAGATCCATTACTCCATTTGCCACTATTTCAAAAAAGGAAGTTGAATTTCAAACTGTGAAATTTAATGATTCGGATAATGATTGGGGGATTTCAAAGTATTTTTGGTGGCCTCTTGCTTGTTTTTTTATTCATTATTTATGAAGTAAACAAATTACTGATTCATATTTGGATAAATGATCAGCCACATCACATTTCTAAAAATCTGACTAGTTTGGGAATATTTACTTTATGCATCAAAATGAAAGGACTCAGTTCATGTAATCTTTGACACTTTTCATAACTTATTCACATCTATGTCATTAATACCCCGATCGCTTGTTTAATTCAGCTTAAATGGGGACTATGTAGGATTTTAGAATATTTCAGATTTCAGCGTGTTCTTGTGGAATCTTTGAGGGGTTTTTCTGTCCCAGTGCAGGTTTTAGTGGCAAACTGTTTACAACTCAGCTTCAAGCACGAGTTTGCAAAAGAGTGTTTGTTTTTACCCAAAATGGTACGACTTATATTGTGTACCTTTTGAGTTTATTATGTTATTATCAGAAATGTTTTCAAATATGTGGAATATTATCATAAGCAAATCCATCATAACCCTATAACCCTAACCCTAAACTGAAATCAAGGGATACATCTAATTAAACTTTTGAAGAGTAAATCTTAGGGAATTACGTGACAATTGTATGTACCATGTAATGTTAAAGCTTGTTGATGAAAAAGAAGCTTATTTTACATTATTGTCAAATCGGAATCGGATGCTTCAAAAGAGTAGTTTTGTAAATAGCAAAAAGACCTTGTAATACATTAATCAACATAAACAGCATGGATAGACTTCTGTCTCACAAAGTCGTGCACTTTGCTATAATGTTGCAGATTCAAGGCTTGTTTTTTGTCTAGTCTACAAA